GGGAGTTCATGCATCTTCCTGTATCCTGAAACCCCTCCCACTGTTTTCAATCTTTTTTTGGGAGGGGGGGGGGCTGTGTGAGGAGTATGAGTACTGCCAAGGTTCTGTTTTTGTCCTCTTATGATCTGCTGTACACGTTTGTTTTTATGAGGCCTGCGAAATCAAATCTGTGTCCATTCTCCACAGTCTCATGCTTGGCGGGTTGGAAATTGCACACTGAGGCTGCCTTTTTTGTGTCAGAAGAAAGGAATGGTCAATAAATTGGTGACACAGCCCGGATGTAGCCTTTCGGATGTGAGTATTGTTTAGATGATGTGATATCCCAAAGGGAAGCATGCTGTATTAGCATTTCCTTACTCTCAGTAACTGACTGTATCAGCTCATCATGTCATGCAGTTTATGTCCAGACTCAACAACAGTGTGTACATTACAAGCCTTAATGCTGAGATAATTTTTTTTAATTTTTTTTATATTCATTTATCCATGTTTGCAAGTGCTGTGTCCTTCTGCACATGGGTATCTTGTGTATGACCTGCGTGCATACGTCAGTAACAATCATGAAGTCATAAAAATTAATGGAGTTGCCATGCAAGTGTGTATTTTATGTAGATTACTTGCTATCAAGGTCAGCTGGCATTTGGCCAGCTTTTGAGTGATAAAGGCACTGAAGTCAGATCTGTAGCTGCAGTAGCTGCTGTTGCCAGAATGGAAAATATTACATTGTGTCAATGCAATAGCTAGTTGAATATGGCTTTTTTTTATGGCTTTTATGAATTACGGTTTTAAATGTGCTCTGTATTTTTATTGTAAAGCACATTGTTACTGTGTTTTGAAAGATGCTGGATAAATAAGGTATATTATTATTATTATTATTGTTATTATTATTACTGAATGCAGTTTAAGCCTTACTGCTGTCAATCCCCCAGGGTTGGAAGAGACACGGCAACTCCTGTTATCAAGTGAACATTAAACAAGTACCCTTCAAAGATCGCTGTAACATCACTATAAGAAACAGGTAGGAGTCTGCTGCTTGACCAGAAATACACACCGACTCATCAGTTCTCGCACATATGAATGAATTTTTGAAGTGTAAGGCAGATTATATAACTTACATTTGACTCTTTTGTTCCAGGTTTGAGCAGGCCTTTATCAGCCGTCTACTTAGAGAGCAGATCAGCAAGGATCCTCAGTATTTTTGGATAGGGCTGCAGGACATTAAGAACACAGGGGAATACCAGTGGGTGAGCCAGGATGGGTCCCCGGGTGTGGTTACATACACCAACTGGGGCTGGCATGAACCAAGTGAGTAAAAAAATGCACCAACAACCGAGTATAGCATTATAATGTGCAGCATTGAATTCTGGACCTTTTCCGAACATGGTGGTTTCTTCTAGTGTGGAGGTTAAGATTTGACCTTTTACCATTCACTGTTTCGTTTGCAGGACAATAGCATTATGCTGATACTGATACTGCTAGTTACAAGAATATTAATATGTAATATACAGTGTTGATTAGACTCTTATATTTTCTGTCATTTTGGTAATTAAAGGAATATTCTTGTCATAAAAATAATGCTGGTACAATGCAATGCAGTCTGTCAGAATACCATGTCAACAGTCCCACATTTTCATATTTAATGAGATAAAAAATAAATTTAAAAAAGTGCTTATTTCTCATCTAGAAAGTCAAAGTCAGCCTTTCTTTCTATTTAATTTATTTGCTCAAAAAACAACTATATTGGCAATTCATATTTAACTTTTTTTGTGTGTCATGTACATATGTTTTTTAGAACGGGATGGAGGTTGTGCAGGGATTTCCACCGCAAAACCCCTGGGCCGTTGGGAGGTGAAGAACTGTACCTTTTTTAAGGCTGGCACCATTTGTAGAACAGACCTTGGTTCGCTTCCACCCCCAGAACCAGAGCCGAACCCCAACATACCCTGCCCTGATGGATGGGTGTCCAAACCAAACATCACATACTGCTACAAGGTATGTGTGTGTGTGTGTGTGTGTGTGACTGTGTCTTTGAACACCTGTAGTTGCGTAGACTATTCCACCATTAGGAACCATGGTTGTTTAGCAAAGGTGGTAATGGATGTGGCTGGGAACTGCATCGATTTTACACATCAAAGTCTGTTCACAGGTCTTGAGAGTATTGCTGCATATGTGGGGAAATGTATAGTCTTTTGTGGCTTCAGTTGAGTTGCATTTTGGGTCATGTAGGCACCAGGTTTTGAGAAGGAAAAATAATGTATGGAGTAAATCATGCATTGGTTTTGCTGCTTTTATTTTTATCCTTTTTGTTTCATGAGTCCGACATTGTCATAAAAGTACACTGATGAATTGGTCAAGTACTCATACTACTTACTTGTTTAATTAATGGCATTTAATTAGAAGTAATATTTAGTAGCAGAGAGAAGCAACAATCCATTTACATTTCCATCTCATCACTGGGATCAAATAAAACATTATATATGGTATTCATGCTCTAGTTAGTTCTGCATTGGCCCTCTTAAAACAATGGTCCGTCTTGTGTATTTTCATGACTGTCTTATTGTGCAGATTGTCACTTCCTCTTCTAAATTACATGATCAGATGACAGTTAGCTTTCTTTACAACCCAGTACGTTACTTTACTTTAGTAGCTGTTATAAATTGTTCTTTCACCATGTCAGGTGTTTCATGAGGAAAGGCTGAGCAGGAAGCGCTCCTGGGAGGAAGCTGAGAGGTTCTGTCAGGCTCTGGGAGCCAACCTGCCCAGCTTCACAAATATTGGTGAGATGAGGGCCCTGCACAGCATCATGAGAGAAACCATCAGGTATACAAACATGCACACAAGTACTGTATTCCTTTACAAGCATTCATTTATTTGTCATTGTTTATTTTGTAATATTCTGCTGTGAGTATATCACAACTGATTGCTGCCTAAATCTTTAGACACATTTCATGCAGACGAGTGTGGGTTATAATCATTCCCCATCAGACTGCCATTACCATTCATGTAATACCATTCTGTCACTTAACGGAGAGATGAATGCTAAACATGTTGGTTTGTCGTCATGGGCGCATACCTCAGAATTCGGCGTCCTCTCATTGTTCACATAAACATTCAGCACCTCACTTTGAATGTTCAAATAAACACATGCCACCTCCTGACTGACACAGTTGAGTTGAGCTTAAACTTTTGAAGAAGAAAATGCCAACATTCCTTTTTAAAATTTGCTTGTGAGAATTTCCTTTGACTTCAAAATAAGATTAAGTGTGACGAATGATGGTGGTTTGCTCTGCTGTTCTTCTTACAGTGATAATCGGTACTTCTGGGTTGGCCTGAACAGGAGAAACCCAGCCGATCGCTCCTGGAAGTGGAGCAGTGGCCGCCCTGTGAGTATACCCTGACCCTAAACCCCTCCCTAATACACTTCGAGAAGACATAACGTATATAAGTTGAGATGTAATTTTCGCTATGCGACCATTCAGAACTTCACAAAAAATATTTTTCCACTTATTTCAAGACAGTGACGTCTTAAAATTCATGAAACAAATCAAAGTTCATCATATCTGTGCAGGATTAAAGGACTTTTTCATTTTGATTATTTCGCTTATTATTGCATTTATGTATGAGTAAAGTCTGTTTATTCAATGTCTCCATAACAGGTATCTATGGATGTTTTACACGATGATTTCCATGAGGACGATGAATACAGTCGGGACTGCACGGCATTCAAGGTGGGCTGGGTAGATTTAGACTAATAAATGACTTTAAATGAGAAATAGTTTTCAATTATTATGCATTGTCATGCCCAGTTATTAAAAGTCACATGACTTGACTTGCAACTAAAAAAAATAATAATAATAATAAAAAAATATATAGTATCTTATTTTATCTTATCTTTATGCATGTTTTTCAACATTTAGTTTAATTTAATGTAGTGATATCTGGTTATCCATACTGTACAGCTTGACCTGTGAATCATGGCCATTTGCTCAAGCTGTTAGTGGGAGTCATGAGAAGAGCTACAGCTGAAATCTGTCTCAGTTGACTCAGTAACTTCATGTCCTACAGGCTGTCTTGAAACAAAATCCCGAAAAAGACAGCCGGTCAGAACAGTGGGTCCTCTTTGTTTTTTCACACCATGAGGACTCGGTCACTTGACATACACCAAATTGCCCTAATGATAATCTGTCTTGGTTTACTTCACTCCTTGCTGTTGGCCTCCATTAAAGAAGTACTTCTTTATCTTGCCGTTCAGACTCTGACCTTTGTTCTCACTTCTCGTTTGTCCAGTTAGTGATTGTGTTGTGTGACATTTCCTTCTGAAACGATCACTAAATTGCATTGAGCCACAAGATCTGCAATGAAACGTCTTTTTTTCTGTATGTATTTCTTTGATGGTAATATTTGTGCAAACTGTCTGTGTCCTCATTAGACAATGAAGAGCAGCTTGAAACACCTGTTACTGTTTCTGCACCATGACTTACCACCCACACCTTTCTTTGCCACACCATTTCACTGTGACGCCAGGCTAGAATGGGTCTGCCAAATTCCCCGTGGTAAGACTAATCACTGTGCAGTGTGTGTGCGCACAAAGCAACAGTTGTTTTTTCAAATTAGTCCCCTTGTTAAAAATTTACATTTCATATTGGTAGGAAAGAGATTTATCCACATGTGATTTAATAAACCTGTAGGCTTATATGTAAATAAATCTACTGGAGGGTAACTTGATATTGTTATTTGTGTGCTTTTGGTTATATTCTGCTTCTGACCAATTCTTTGTTGATGCTTCAACAGGAAAGACACCGGAGACCCCATACTGGTACAATCCCGGTAATGATGAAATCTAAATCTAATTTATCTTCTGAGTCTGTAATTTGGTCAGATAATATGTATGTTGTCACTGTCTAAAATGTGTCATGATTTTCGAGCAGTTTGTTGTGCTTTTCAGGTGGGCACCATGACACATCGATCTTCATAGATGGAGCAGAGTTTTGGTTTGTTAATGAGCCTAAGCTGACTTTTAAAGAGGCAGAGCTCTTTTGCAGTGCGAATGACAGTAAACTGGCTGCACCACTTAGCTTAACTGCTGCCGGACAGATCCACCGGTACCTCAAAAATGTAAGTGATGACTTTTTTCCAGTACAGTTTTAAATGTGTACTTGACAGCTACATGATATTGTGCTTAAAGGCTGAGGCTACACTGGTTAGTCGGACATGCTACTGTATGCAGCTTATTTTTTCAAGCGGATAAACGCGCTGTTTCTTCCATTCTTTCCATCTTTGCGCTGTTTTTTTTTTTTGTTGTTGTTTTGTGAAGGATAAAAAAAAGAGACCACATCCCACTCACCAAACTTTTCAGATACAGAGTATAGTTCTTATTACAGTCCCATTCACACAGTTTTAGCCTACAGCATGTGTAGAATCCAATGCTTGACACACTTGCCATGTCCCATTACAGTTGCTAAGCTATTATTTGACAGTTGCTGTTTGTGGGAGAGGGTTCAGCAAACAGGTCATGGAAACTGGTCATGGAAAGTTGACAGTTTTTCATGAGAATACAGCTGGAAACAGTCAAAATTCAGTAGAAGAAAATTATGCCCCCACCACTAACAAAATAAAAACATTGATGTAATAAAATCTCAGCACAGTTACTTCACAGTTCATTAAAACTCACCATCAAATGTATTTGTCTGAAATACAGGCCATCTAATTCTCTGCTACATCAGTTTTTATCATTCTGTTTTTATTCTTTATTGTTTTATCCGTCTCTTGTGAGTACTCCAACTCTATGGAATTGCAATACTAAATCACCAGAGAGCTTCTTTTTTTTTTCTTGGAGACCAGCATTTCACAAGCATCAATACAAGATATACAGTTATTCCACAGCTGTTTTCCACCCTTTTTTGTTTTATGGAACATTAGAACAAAGAACCAGAAAAAGAACATCCCCAAGAATAAAGAGGGAGAAAAAAAAAATAGAAATAAAAATAAATAAACAAATAAGTAAAAATAAATGTAATTAATTAGTTGGTGAAGATAAATAGATACATATATATAAAGAATAAATAAATAAAATAGAATAAAATATAAAGGGAGGCGAAAGAGAAAAAAAATAATAATAATAATAAATAAATAAAGGATGCCCAATGTGCTCACTAAAAAAAATTATAAAATAAACAATTGGATGCATCAGATTGATTCAGTTGGGGTCCAGAGAGGTGACAGTGTTTACATATGTGATGAGAGGTTGCCATCTTTTATAAAAATTGACTGCTAAGCCTCTTAGGGAGTATTTAACTTTTTCCAAAGACAGTAAAGACATTAAATCACTTAACCAAGAAGTAGTAGGAGGAGCGTTTGGGCTTTTCCAATGTTGTAGAATACGTCTGCGGGCTATGAGCGAGGCAAAAGCAACAACTAGTTGGAGTACGAGGTACCCCAAAGATGGATATCAGTGGGCAGGGTTCTAACTTGATATTGAGGGCATTGTTTAACGATTTAAAAAAACATGACCAGAAATTGACTAGTTTGGGACAAGAAAAAAACATATGAACATGGTCTGCTGGAGATAAACCACATCTATCACAGATATCATTTGTGCCTGGAAATAGCCTACTAAGTCTGTTTTTTGTGAAATGAATTTTGTGGAGAACCTTAAATTGGATTTGGATCTCCACCACTCATCTGTGAAATCAAAGCCAAGCTCCCTTTCCCAATTCTCCCTGACCCTCACAAGGGAGGACATGTTTGAAGATGATATGAGGTCAAATAATACTGAAATCTTAATACGAGCCATTGGAAGAGAGAGTACCTCAGTAATAAGAGATCCCATTGGAGATTGAGGGAAAGAAGTAAAGTGTGTGCGAGCAAAATTCCGTGCTTGAAAGTATCAGAACATATGAGATTGGAGTAAATTATACTTAACATGGAGATAATTAAATGTAGCAAATAAGCCCTTTGAATATAAATCTGGAAAACGAACCAGACCTCTCTTTCTCCACAAAGTGAAAGCTGTGTCTGCATTGGAGGGGGGAAAGAAATGATTATTGCAAATAGGGCTTAATGGGATGGGTGTTGAAAGTTTGAAATTTTGCCCCAAATATGTTTCTTACACATACATCTAGTACAGCCAAGCATTAAAACTTACATAAAAAAATTCTAAATACCATGTTATTTGAGATATTTAACAATTTAATTACACAATTCCATGTTTTTCACTTAAAAGGGATTTTTTTCTTTTATTGTAAGTTGTTCCTTGCCGGCGTGAAGGGTATCCTAATGATTACTGCCTCAAAAGGTCTTTGTTTTTGGAAATAGGGATGACTGGAAGCTCCATAACCTCAGCAACAAAGATGTGTAGGGTGCTCTTGGTTAACAAGGAAAAAAAAACAGGATAAAGAGGAAGGAAATACAGCCACTTAAAAAAATATTAATGAGGGAGGAAACACCTGCAACAGAAATAACATTCAACATTCAATAAAGGCTTTCTGATATTTTAATATATGTGCCTGGATTTCCCTCCCATTTATCCACTTTAGAAAGTCTGTATGAGACAAGAGGTAATAAAGTTGATAACAGGATTGTTTTATTATTTGGTACTAAGGCTTGCATGTTTTGAACAGATATCAAGTACTCCCAAGCAAAACTGGTGGATCAATATGAAAGAGCCCGGGCGGATATTCCCCATGACGTAAGCCAGTACAGTCACACACACACACACACACACACACTGTACCAGCATAAAATGTGATGTTGAGGTTGACTGAAATAATCTATGTTCTAGGTACACCCAGATGTACTTTTATCATTCAGTTTTCCTGGGCAGATGCAGCTCCATCAGTGTTGAAAGCTTATTTCCAGGTGAGTTGATGTTATAGAGTTGTTATGCAGCTGTGTATGATTAAGGATATGTTTAATTCAACATGTTATTTGATAGAAGAATCCATGAGGGTCAGAGAATAGATCGAGAGCGAAGAGGTCTAGCGGGGAGCTATTCTGGCCTGCCACACATTTACTACCAATTTACTCACGATACCGACAACTAAGAACATATCCGACAAAGCCGTAGTACACCACTCGACATATTCGACAGCTGACATATGAGGGTGCGCGAGCGTGACATAGCACAACAAACTCTATCCCCATACCGCGGTCAGCGTACCTGACCATTGGTACAGGATGCAAAAGCTACAACGTATCACAGACGGCGTGCAGCTAAACCGATTCCACGTACAACAAAACATTATAAGGTGCTTGGATGCACTGTATTGGTTCATCGACCAGCGTTAGTTTTAAGCCTGTTATTGTACAGGGTGGTGATGGCAGGCTGTGGCAGGGAAAGGATGTCCTGGTATCTGGTCCCTTCGACGCCAAAGCCGACGCTTGAGCAGCATGTGAGAGAAGGTGTCCGCTG